CTATTACAATTTTGATTCTTATTATTCACAAATTCCGTATTGATTAGACTTCTGCTCTAGCTTATCTATATTCCTAGTCACCGCGGTGCTATCGTCACACCCTTGAATGCGTGCACACCCACGAAAAGCCACACTGCTGGGCCACGCTCCCAGCTCAGGCTGTGCAAGGAGGTGCTGGGCCTTCATCAGAATCATACAGCTCTCATTCAGAGAGGAGCAAAGGATGGAGCTTCAGTCCCCAAGCTGACATCTCAGTGGCTGCCGCAAGCGCAGCACTTACACTTCCGAGCTGGGGAGACAGCTTGGTGGCCTAAGTGCCTGCCTAGCAAGCGCAAGTGCCATATGTCACATCGACCATGGAACCTCTGGCCTGCCCTGCAGGCCTCAAAACCAGGCATGGGGGTGCCTGCCTGTAATCCCAGTGCTGGGGACACTGAGACAGGAGGAGCACTAGGAGTCTGAGCTGTGTAGCGAGACCCTGTAGCAAATAAATAAATACATAAATAAATGATTTTAAAAATAAAATCTACCAAGATAAGTTGTTTTTATAATTTAAAATTATAATCTATGTGAGATGTATGTGTATATATACATAATTTCCCTAGAAGAAATGGTATAGTACTTGTTAATTCAGTGTTTATGGAAACTTTAAAGAACATGATAATATGCACCAAGCACCCATAACTCCAGCACACTGGGAGGCCGAGGCAGGAAGACTACAAATTCTCAGGCAGCAGGGGCAATTTAGCAGAACCTTGTCCTTTGAAACCAAAAATCATGAATTGTATAAGTATTCCCATATCAAAAATTACTCTATGAGATGATAACTTGAAAGCAGCCTCAAAACTCATTTTCTTTTTTTAAAATTTTTTTTCCATAATTTTATTGAGAAACAAATAGCAGAGAGACAGTTTCAAACCAAATTGGTAGGACAGTTTCAATAATTAACACATTGCATACATTCTTCCTAGTGGTTAATTGCTGTACAAGATGCGGACTTGATATCCTATTTACAAACACCATTAGAGCAAATCCCTCTATTCATTAAGAGAATGTAACTATGTATCTATCCTAACCACTTTGAACACACAGATACAAAATGGACATTCATCTGTATCCCCCTTTTTTTTGTTAAGTTCCATCATTTAAATATTATAGGTGTGTAAACTCAGCAAAATATTCTAAAAGAGTTCAGTAGTCCGTATCTCAGGATACATCCTGAGGGGATTTCACTGACCTTATCAGACCCAAAAGCTACAACTCTTGTTGCATAGGTCCTGCTTTACCTTGGTCTTAACCATCCAGCAGAAAAGTATGAAGACGAAATTATAAGAAATAAAGCCATGCTGTTAAGTTGAGCTGTAGGGGACTCAGGTCAACAATTTCTGACAGTGCCAGTCAAGTGGAAGATCAAAATTCATTTTCTAAACCAGGTAATCCCAACACTCATGAGGCTGAGGCAGCAGGATCACTGCCAAGTTCGGGGCCAGCCTAGGCTACAAAGTGAGTTCAAGGCCAGCCTGAACTATATAGCAAGACTTTGTACAGACAATAACAAAACCCAACCCAACCCAACCCAAGACACTCATTACAATGTTATTACAGAGTTAACGTGGTGGTTAGATCAAGTCCCCTTAGTGCTCCTGAGCTTTGTAGCAGGCCTCTAGGCAGTGGCTGTTCATCTGACTAGAGCTCTCAGATACGATCTAAATCAAATCTAGCAATATTATTTTTATCAATTTCCAATACCGTGCCTCCTGCAGTTTTCAAGAAATAACCCCTTGGTGAGGCTGGGAGGGAGAAGGGAATGAAGCTGCTTACTCGTTATACACCTTCCAGGCATTACATCCATGCTGTGACATCAGCTCCAGGTTCTCAATTCGAACTGCCTGATGTTCTAACTGGGCCATAGAATTGTTCACACATTCTTGCCACGCAGTAATGTCATTTTTCTGACCTGAGGAAGGGGCTGGAAGCTCATATCTGAAGTAAAATAAAATGAAGTAAAACTAAACTACATTATCTGCCACACTGTCATCCTTAATACCAACAGAATAACCCATGGGTCTCTACACCTTTAAAAAACAACAATCGACTGGTGTGGTGGCACATGCCTGTGAGCCTAGCACTCGGGGGCTGAGGCAGGAAGATTCCCAAGAGTTCAAGCCAGCCTAGGCTACATAGTGAGACCCTGTCTCATGAACCAAAAGAAACCTTTTATCCTAAAAAACAATTTACAAATGATACTTGCTATCATTATATTTAGTTACAAAAAAATTCAACGTGAGTTAGATAAACTATATTGTATTTACATAAAAGATTGCCATACTAGCTATTAAATTATGTTACCGGAAGAGGAGTCCAATTTCTTCCTCCAGCAGCACAACCCTATTAAAGTGGTTCCTTTGTCTGTCATTATATCTCTATTTATTTATTTATTTTTTGCGGTACTGGGGATTGAACTCAGGACCTTGCGCTTGCCAGGCAAGCGCTTATTCTACTGAGGTATCTCCCTGGCCCATATCTTTAAAAAAATGTTACTGAAAAATATTTTAATATATTGGGCCAATGAGATAGCTCAGTGGTCTAAAGCACCTGCTTAAGCAAACACAAGGACTGTAGTTCGATCCCCGGCCCCACATGCCACGCCAACCCTGCCCCAAGCCAATCACAAAAAGAAAAATATTTAATATATTAAAGGGGAAAAAAGATGGACATAAAAATCCTTTTACCATTTCTGTCAAATACCCACACCCCTTTTAGAGAAAAATGCAAAAACACATATTGAGAGCCCACCCTCTTCTCTCTTCACAGTGCTGGTACAGTCAGCAAATACGCTCTTCATAAATCTCAAGTCCTTGCTCATGAGTTACTATAAATGAAAATTTAATATTCTTGGGGCTGGTGAGATGGCTCAGTGGTCTAAAGCACCTACTTAGAACAAGCTTTGCAAAGAACAGGGACCGCAGTTCAATCCCCCAGCACCACATGCCAGCCAGCCCCGCCCCCTGGTGGGCTGAGCTGGCCACACACACACACACACACACACATAAATAAATAAATAAATAAAATTTTTTTAAAAAAAATTCTTACCGTTTCATACTGAGCAATTCAATTGGTTGTCTTGCAGCCAATCTTTCGAATTCATTTCTCATTATGTCAGTCTGATGTATAAATTAGAGAATTATTTCCAAGATTATATCAACACAATTAACTTAATAATCAGTAAAAAAAAAACCAACCCCAAAAGTTATACTTTATACTCCCATTGTAAGGGATCATTTCTCTTTCTTCCCCCAATTTCTTTCCTTTCTCTCCTTCTCTCTAAGTACTGGGGATTGAACTAAGGGTCTTTGCACTCAACTCATACTCAACCCTTTTTATTGTGAAAAAGTCCTGACAATTTGCCCAGGCTGGGCTTGAACGTTCAGCCCTAGAGTGCTGGGAACACAGAAGCACCACACACCCAGCTCCTTTTTCTTTCCTGTGCACTGCACACGCTAGGAGCACCTTCTATCTACCCCGGTGCTCCGCCCAGCAACTCTTCTCTGAGCTAAATGCTCTTTCCAGTCTGCAGAGACATACACGTCAGTTCCATACTTAGGCTGGGGCAAGAAATATGGTGTAAGAGGAAGGGACCAATCCTAAGTCCTTTCCAGTCTCAGCAGCACACTGCCATCAGCTAGGGAGCTGTGAACGCAATTCTAAGCCCAGCCCTACCAACGCCTCCCACTCCCGGTCTGTCTGAACCAGGGCCTGGCAGGCCTGTAGCTTTCAGTGGTGGTGCTGGGGACTGAACTGGGGCTCGTTCCTCCTTTCGCACAAGCTGACGGTGAAAGGAAGCCAGTGTACACAACCAGGGACTTGAATATTCTTTGACAACAGGAGAAAGAGAGGTGAGGCATAATTTGCTTTCTGTTTAGGAGCCTAAATCTGTACTTCTTTTTGGTCCTGGCGGCTATTTTCACCCTTTGCTCTTTGCAAACAATGGAGGAGAAAAGGCACGTTGGCAGGGCCTCTGCCATTAAATAAAATAACTTACAGATGGTATTTTACATTTCATTCGCCTGCTTTGATACTAATTAGTATCTTGGCTGGACTCATATGTCAAATATTTGCAAACGTACATACTTAGATACTGCCTTGTTCGGTACCCACAGCCACATGGTAAATATCTAGGCTTTGATAAAAGGCCTCCCTCTGGCGGGTCTAAAAACCATCAACAATTACGCTTATTTGTAGATTTAAAAGCCCACATGTCTTGCAGCAGGGTGGACCTTATAGGATTTCTTTCAGAATTTACACATGGATCCTTTCTTACTAAAGAAAAAAAAAAAAAGGGTACACACAATTTTGCCTTAAGAGTTTGAAGACTCTGCACTGAGTCCTTCTCGGGGCCCCACGGACCCTGAAGAAGGCCCACGTGGCTGCTGTCGGTACCTGTGAGACGTGTACCTAACTAGGGCCAGGGATGTGGCTCTGGGACACAGCGCCTGGCCGGCAAGCGCGAGGTGCCGAGTCGGACTCCGGGCTCAAAAAAAAGCGAAGCCAGTAGTTAGGCTGGAACCATTTACATAACACCACCTCACTTCTTCGTTGCCAAATTCCTCAACCCAAAATACAGGTTCACGAGAATCCTCCCCCGGTACGCTGGGCTCAAAGCATCGCTTACTTCAAAAGCGGAATAATCTGGCGCTGTCAAGTAGCTCAGGTAATTCTTGGTGGGTCGGTATCTGCGCGTCTCCTCCTCCACCAGCGCCGCAGCCTAAGAACGAGAACACCAGCCACGGTAGGGGCGGCCACGGTAGGGGCGGCCACGGTAGGGGCGGTCACGGTAGGCGCGGCCACGGTAGGGGCGTCCACGGTAGGGGCGGCCACGGCCGCCCGCGCCGCTTGGGCACCGCGCCGGCGAGCACCGCCCGCTACACGCACGCCGCGCACTCACCGCTTCCCGCACGCCCGGCGCCTCATAGCCTTGATCAAAATACGGCAGCGCATCCACTACCACCTCTCCGGCCACCAGACCCGTGCCCGCCATCGCAGAGGACACGCTCTCCGCGAGAATTGCTGAGTCGCAACGCAGGCAGTCCTGCGTACGTCAGCGCCCGACGGTGACGCAATCACGTCGCCTGCGCGGCGCCTTTGGCGCATGCTCGGTTGCTAATGCTGGGGGCGCGCTGGCGTCGTAGCTGGAGGGGGCCGGGTTCGCGTGGGGCGGGGTGACGTCTCGCTCGGACGTCCCAGAGTTCTCCCGCGGAGACCCCCAACCTCCTTTCTCTGGCCAACCCCAAGAGGGGCTCTAGGTTATATACCAGAAAGGAGAGCCCTCAAACGCTTGCCGAGGAGTGACGGTCGCGGCTGTCGCGGGGAGCTGGCTCCGCTGGAGCGCCCGCCCGCCCGCCCGCAGCCCCACGCCGCAGGCCCTCGCGGTTTCGCGGCGGGACCTTCGCCAACTCACTCTTTCGCGAGTTTTCAAAAAAAAAAAAAAAATACTGATCTAAATTATCGAGGATCTTTCGCTCTAGGGCGGGATTTCGCAGGACTGTACAGTAAACGTATGCTGTCGACATTCTGTGGGTCTGCGAGTTGAAAAAATGGTTGAGAACAGAAGTGTGTTTAAAGTGTGGGAAGGGTTTAGAAAGCCTTAACGTAGAAACACCACAGTGACCGCGTGCCGCGCCTTCGCCGACCTTCGCTTCTCGCGGGGCGTCCGGGCCTCACCCCCGCTGAGGACCGCCGTAGCGAGACTCCCCTCTCAAGGGCAACAGTGAAACCCCAAACGAAACAAAAGCCAGGTAGGTCACGAAGAGAAAAAGGAGCCTGCGGGGCATGCTGGCGCGCGCCCGGGGCGAGCGCTCTGCACCGGGAGACAGTGTCTCAAAAACAAAAACAACAAAACTAAATCAAACCGGCCTCCAACCTCGATTTACTGTTTAGTCCACCCTCTCCTCCACCAGCTCCTCCGCAAGGAATCCATCGTGCCAGGTTTCCTTCACTCTTGTATTTTCCTGCTGTATGTCTACTACCCTTACTCGGTGCCCTGAAAATATTTCTCCTGGATAAATTAAATTTCTGTTAGAATTGAGAAGCTTTCCGGCCTTCCAACAATAACAAAAAATTGTAAATCTCCCTGCAAGGTGAGATCCATGACTGCACCTCACCCCCCCCCCCAGAAGTGGAGATTGAACTCAGGCCCTTGCGCTTGCCAGGGAAGGGCTTATTCCACTGAGCCATCTCCCCAGTCCTCACCTCACTGCCGTTTCGCCTTTGGAAAATCTAGAAAACCAACCCACTGACTTGCTTTTAGAAGGTTTTTCTGTTTTGTTTCGTTTTGTTTTCTGGCTGTCGTCTCAGGATGCCTTAAGGCAGGTGGTACGGAATGAGGGTCTGCGGAGGAACCCAGCTTCCTGTGCAGTGCCTGACTGCATTTGCATAAGCTGGCACTGAAACTGCTGAGCTAAGCGGCAGGCTCCCGATTTTGCCTTTAGGACTTAAGGGCAGCGTCAGGCGTCAGCTCTCAGTCTCGTCCCCGAACCGCCCAGGCTGCTGCAGAGCACTTTTTCTACTGGTTCCCAGGCCAAGCAGCCTCTCTTGGCATGAACAGGTAAAGAAAAAAATGTTGGAAGATACTCTGCCCTAGTCTATCTAGGCTTTGTGCTGAAAGCCTGGAAATGCTGGCCGCAGTTACTAAACCTATCAGGATGGATTG